CGTGTTGGGACCCTTGACCAAAAGCCAGTCACTCATTGGGCATAGCACATACACACAGTGGGGCAAATCAGCTATACACCTAAACTAGCCAGTATGTCTTTGGATGGGAACCAGAACTCCAGGAGAAGACTTAACACAGACACAGGGAAAAGAGGCAAGCACCTCACCAAAGACACCTCAGGTTAAACTCAAGCAGCAATGCTACATTGCTAATTGCCAAACTTCCGAGCCAACCATGTTCTTACATCTCTTTCTAAATCAGAATTGCACTAAAAATGAAAGTTTCCCGGGTGCACAAACAGGATTTTTCTTACAAGCACTGTATTTGTATTGCATTTTATACCAACACAGATATGAGCTGATTTTTTTAAACCGGTTTTATTGTCTTTAATTCTTTTAGAAGCTGAAGGGGGAGTTTTGCTTCAGAGTGGAAAAATCAGGAACTTTTCATGGCTTTGCTGCTTGGTTTAGTGTTCAGTTCCAAAGCCTAGACGAAGTGGGTCCTACGCTGGAGTTAAACACCGGACCACATCACCCGTAAGTCAGCTCTTCAAACACTAACAGCTGGAGGTCAGAGTCATTTTATCTTGTTTTAGCACTGTTCCTCAGGAACAGAACAGTGCATCTTCTTTTGTGTTGTTAGTTTTTCTTCTTCTGTCGTATCTCAATCACAGATTTAATTAACATTTTATTCACTTATTTAATTTGCCCTAACCCTTTTATCAGAAAGATATCTAAATATACCTTTAAAATATATATTATAATATATTTTGGTTTGCATGTATTTCAGTGCCTTTTCCCAGACTAATCAGTAAGTTAATCTCTTAATGTTTAAATATTGAATTTCTAATGCCCCTTTTAAGGATTCGTTCAGTTCTGACTGAACTATTATTATTTACTATCGTCCTTGAGGTACACAGCATTTAACAAAGCTTTATAGATTCAATTTCTGTGGAATTGTTTTCCATTTCAGACAGAGACTCCACCAGTAAAAGTGTTTGTAAGACAGCAGGTGGCACCTGTTGTTTTAACAGCAGCGGTTTGAATAAAGACTATTTCGTTAGCCGGATCTGGATAGATGGTGTGTCCTGCCAGCTCTGGGCGAGCCTGAAACAGCCTGAGCCTCCCTAGTGTGAAGACCACTGCAGCAGAGCTGAGATAAGCAAGTTTAGAGTGTATAGAAAAGAGCGGGGGAAGTCAAAAGATCCTGCTGGAAATCTGGTCCCTGTGTGTACTGTTATGAATAATATTGTTAGGAATAATTACCTTTGAAAATATTTTTGATTTACTAGAATATTCATCATTTCTAAGTAATATGTAATTACTTACATATTGCTTTATGTAAGTAATTAGTGTTATCTTGAATTTTCTTGAACAGAATTTACTAGAATGATTATGTAAATCGTTAAAAAAAAAGGTCTAGAGCTTTGGGGGGGAGTTTGAATTCACCAGAGAGAGTAACGGGCAGAGTTTGAGCAGAGAGGGATTCATTTTATACTTACGAACAGCATGTATATGATATATATTTGGATTTATTTTGGTTTATCGAGGGATGTTGGACTTTGCCTCTTGTTTATCTGTTTTGGTGGTCACACACAAATTGAAAGGGAAATAACAATTTCAGACCAGTGATGGCAGCACATTGACAGATAGGGACTCTTAGATAAGTGAACTTTTGTGTTTTTTCTTTGCCCATTATAAGTTATTGTAATTCTAATGCTTGTTTTGTTATTGTAAATACATTTGTAAATATAATATAAAAAAAATCGCTGACTGCTTTTATTTTTCTATATCGTAACACAATGTCTGTCCGGACTCTCTCTTCCCTGTGTTTTAGTCTGACCCATTGGAAGCAGACGCTGCTCATGCTGGACTCTCCCGTCTTCCTGCATCAAGGGGATTCTCTCTCTGGGATGATTCTGCTCCACCGGAACCCTGTCTGGCGGCGCCACATGACTCTCTCTCTGCACTGGACCATCAGGAGCACGCAGGACTCAGAAGCCTGCAAGGTGAAGATGTCTCTACACCATTAAAAGGATATGTCAATGTCAATGGGACTGTGTGCTTGGGAAGGCTTTCTGGGCGACTGCAATCCCTGTACAGCATGATGTTGAAGAGAAAAGAAGATACAGGCTAAATCTGACAAGGGAAAGATCAGATCAAGAGCGCCAGAAATTAAGTTTCTAAATGTAGAAATATTAGGATTAAAATCTTGGCTAACGGAGACAGAGGAGACAACTATCGTTTTAGTGGGTGTATATTAGAGGATTGAGCAAACACCGACAAGGCAGAAGTCGTAGTTGGGTAGCTAATGTATATCAAAGTAGCTTATGAGAACAGGAGCTTGAGAAGCTCAAGAAGTCCCTCCTGTTCTCAGTTCCAAATGCACTTTCCTCGTAGTTTTGTGTTCTGCATCCTCTGGTTCGTGTTTAACTTTATTCTGAAAAAGTGCAATGAGGTGACTTGGTCAGTGCCTTTTAAATTGGACCAACTTATGACCTTCTCTGTTCAACCCTGTATTGGATAAAGCAGTAAGAAAAATGGATGGATGGTTGAGCTTAAGCAGAAAGAAAACAGGGTGCGTGTCTGTTCATTTTAAATAGATCCTGCTTGAAGCACAGAAAAAAATAACCCAAGGGTGTGTAAATGAACATATAAAAAATGGTATTCTAAATAGTTCCACAAGTCAATGTAGAAAAATATAGGGGAAAAGTATGCACGTCATGAAATTATTTTTAAAAAACCCAAAAGGAATGGTTTAAAGACAATTAGTACAATACATTTCAAGTATAGGTATAAATAAATATTAGAAAGGCCAAGAGAGGAATTGAAAGTACTTGATATTGCTGTGGAGGCCTTTATAGCACTACTGCACCTACAGAACCGTCAAGGATGAAAAACAATACATCTGGGATAAGAATGGAGAACTCCTGGACAATGAATGATATACTAAATGCGTATTTCATTCAGGTGGTCACAAAGGAAGCAGTCAGCCACATGTCCCATGCACCAGAATGTCAAGACAATTTAAGAATTAATCCTTCATGGGGAGCTTTACCGAAAGCCTTCTGAGATTGTCATACCCTGCTTGTATCAATTCATGGTTTTACTTGTTAAAGAATACAAACAAGATGGTTAAGCAAACTCTTCCTACTGTAAATCGATGTTGTCTAGCCTCCAGAATAATTTCCATACAGAAGAACCTCTAGATAAGTTTCAATTATGGTTTCTATAGCCCTGCTTGTATTAAATGTAAGATTTATTTTCTGTCGTTCCTTGGTGCTGTTATGTCAATCCTTTTGATGGAGGGGCCTAAATGAACTCTGTTTTTTTTTCCTCCTTTTATAGACTGGACAGAAGAGTTTTCCGATGTGGAGGTAGCCCAGTGAAGCTGGGTTTTACAGGAAGCAGAAAATACTATAAATGCCAGAAGATAACTCCTCAAGGTGACACTTTTCCCGTCAAGAGTGTTCTGTGAACACGTCCCGGGAGAATTGCAGGTCTGCTGTTTCTTGGTTTGATTAGTTGTTTTTTGTTTTCTTTTGATATTTAGGTTTTTTTCACGCTGGAAGGTTTTCTTATTTGAGATTTGTCAAGTAGGATTTCCACACCAGCGTGTCTAAATTTGGAATCTGTACAGTACGCCTTTGTGAAAATTAAGCACCGAACATGGACAGATAAAATACAATCGCGATAACTTGAACTTTTGCAGACGTTACTATCAGTAGCAGTGTTAATAAAGAAATACTGTTCTACGCTTTTTTAAATGAACATTTGGAATTAATGTTATTGTTTTTTTAGAATCAAACTTAAGATGTTGCTGGCTATAACATTTTATAGAATAAGATTATTTCCTTCTCTGTCGTATTTCAATCCTCAGAATCAAAACATTGGCACTGCAAATCCAAAATAAATCTGGTGCTTTTATATAAAATAATATTCCAGTCAGTCCCTTGCCATTATTGGTTCTTTTCTAGATGTGCCTCAAGACACTATCATTCAAAACAGATTCGAGAAATGGTCAAAAAACAAATAGTTTATGATACCTAAGTATTACCTAAGTGTAGTTAGGTTAAAATTTGTTTAATGTACGGAATAATGAAAAGGCTTCTCTTTTTATTTTGAAATTCTCTTCTGCTACCTCAATTAAACTGCATATAAAAGGTATTAGTAAATTTGTTTTGGTTTTAATTGTTTATTCATATGATTTAATAATGCAGGTCATTTTAAATGCAGGCAAAGTCCTTAAATTTAAAGTTTAATAAAATCAATTCAATGCTATAATTAAAATTAAAATAAGATAAGATCACTTTATTGGCCATATGCAATT